TTTTTTTTTTTGTTTTTTTGAAGATAAAAACTGAATTAAAGATACGCAAACCTGATTTAGGGATCTGATGCTCTAATACCAAGATGATGAGAACCCCAAAGAGAACAATGAGACCCACAGCATGACAAGTGATTTCTAAACTCCAAGAAAGCTAAATCAGGTTTATAATGAGACCTTGACCCGTTGTTTATGTCGCAACAAGAACCAAAGTAAAAACCTTGACCCGTTGTTTATGACGCAACAAGAACCAGAGGTATAAAGTTGGTTGATGCCACACCCTCAAACGATTAAGAACGAGAATGATAAGTCATGTTAGAACGCCACAAGAATAATCTTGATAAGTTCTGTAAATTTCTGAAACGAACCAAAGAGAAAAGTCTCTCAAAATCTCGAGATTCAATAGCCTCCCAATTAGGGTTACAAGCCCCTTTAAATAGGGAAGAGTAATTCTAATCAGAATAGGAAACTAACACCCTAAGCCCTAATCATAATAACCACGAATTGGGCCTTAAATAAATGAATGTTCAGCCCAAAATAATATAAAAAATGTGAAAATCACTAAAAGTAACCTAAAGTAACATGAAATATCAATTTGTTACAAATTGCGACAGAATTGCGAGATTGACGCAAACTGTGTAATTTAGCATAAATGACCTCAATTAAGCTTCTCTTGAACCTGAATGATGTTTATCATGCCTTGATAATCATCCAAGTTTTGATTTAATTCTTGCATGTTGTTATCAACCCAGATCTGCTCAATAAGACCATTTAAAGTTTCTTGCATCTTCCTAGCTCTAGCTCTCGTGACTGGACCTCCTGGAATGTGTAATGGATCTCTTGACATGGTACATGTGGGGTCATGTTGATTCCCATCAGCAACCATCTGACTACTGTTAGGGGTGCAATACAATATGTAAGGCAAAGTCCAATGAGGCAGAAATTGTTCTTTGAATGTGCAAAGTTTGAGAAGATTCAATGCGAAAAGATGTTGTCCCTAGACACTCCAACTAGATGGAATTCTTTGTACTCAATGTTGGAAGTTGCTGAAAAGTATGAGCTTGCATTTGATAGGTCAGTTATAGTTATATTTCAATTTTTTAGTTTATTTTTAATGTTATTTCAATTTTTATTTTAATATAAATGTTATTCCCTTTGCTGCCTATAGTATCAATTTGATAATTTATGTTAGGTTAAATCCCCATTTTGGTCCCTGAACTATTGTACGGACCCCCGATTTGGTCCCTGAACTAAAGAAATCCCTGATTTGGTCCTTAAACTATTGTACGGACCCCCGATTTGGTCCCTGAACTAAAGAAATCCCTGATTTGGTCCTTAAACTATTGTACGGACCCCCGATTTGGTCCCCACTGTTTATAATTTGCCCTAAGTTGGTCCTTGAACTATTGTACGAACCCCCAATTTGGTCCTTACTGTTAACAATTTCGCCCCAATTTGGTCCCTGAGCTATTATTTAATAGAAGGACCAAGTTGGGGTTAAATTGGTAAACAGTAAGGACCAAATTGGGCATCCGTACAATAGTTTAGGGACTAACTTGAGAGTCCGTACAATAGTTTAGGGACCAACTCAGGGGTTTGTACAATAGTTCAAGGACCAAATTAGGGATTTCTTTAGTTTAGGGACCAAATCGGGGGTCCGTACAATAGTTCAGGGACCAAAATAGGGGTTTAACCTTTATGTTATTTTCTCTTATTTTACCTCCTAGCTTTGCAAGAAGAGATGCTCACTATGAGGATGCTTTAGATCATGCTATTCCAACTCATGAGGATTGGGAGAATTGTAGAAAACTGGTGGATTTTTTGGGGCACTTCTACTGTATGACTTGAAGGTGTCAGGAAGTTGGTATGCAACTTCAAACCTTCATTTTCCAAAAATTTGTTCACTTGATGCATTGTTAAAAAGAATGGGGCAAGTCTAGTGATATAGATTTGGCTATGCTTGCAATGAAAATGAGGGAGAAGTTTGACAAATATTGGAAAGCTCCAGTTCAAATGAATAAGAATGTATTTATTGGAATGGTGTTGGACCCTAGATACAAATTACAGTTTGTTCAGTTTATGTTGAAGGAAATACATGACAAAGATGGTAAAATTGGACTAGGAAATAAATATAGGCAGCGAGCGAAGGATGAGACTTATAAGTTATTTGAGGAGTATAAGAAAATGATACAAGGAGTGTGAACCGGCAATAGCAATAACCCTTGCGATCAGAAACATTAAAAGTAGCACAACATTATACTCACCAGGAAGCTCCAACTTGTATGCGTTGTCATTTATCCTTGCGATCACTTGAAATGGTCCATCGCCTCTTGGTTGCAACTTAGAATGCCTTTGTGCAGGGAATCGCTCTTTCCGCATATGCACCCAAACCCAATCTCCAGGTTCAAACACAACTTCCTTGTGCCCTTTGTTGGCTTGATTTGCATATTGCTGAGTTCGTCGCTCTATGTTTTGTTGTACCCTCTCATGTAATTGATTAACCATTTCAGCTTTCTTTTTCTCTTTCAAACTAGCTTGTTTATCAATAGGTAATGGCAATAAATCTAGAGTGAGTGGATTAAAACCATATGCAACCTTAAATGGTGAACAGTTAGTTGCTGAATGGATGCTCTAGTTATAAGCAAATTCAACGTGCGGCAAACACTCTTCCAAACTCTTGAAGCTATTCTGAATGATAGATCGCAATAAGGTTGACAATGTCCTACTAACCACTTTTGTTTGTCCATCAGCTGAAACAAAATACCCTAAAAAGACAATCTGATTTGTGCAAGAGGAATACCTTTTAAAGTTAGCAAACAACTTTTCTTTTCTCAGAACCTTAAGTACCATTTGCAAATGCTCAATACGATCAGTTAAACTCTTACTATATATTAGAATGTCATTGATGAGAACCCCAAAGAGAACAATGAGACCCACAGCACGACAAGGGATTTCTAAACTCCAGGAAAGCTAAATCAGGTTTATAATAGGACCTTGACCCATTGTTTATGTCACAACAAGAACCAAAGGTAAAAACCTTGACCCGTTGTCTATGACGCAACAAGAATCAGAGGTATAAAGTTGGTTGACGCCACACCCTCGAACGATTAAGAACGAGAATGATAAGTCAGGTTAGAACACCACAAGAATAATCGTGATAAGTTCTGTAAAGTTCTGAAACGAACCATAGAGGAAAGTCTCTCAAAACTCAGATTCAATCCCTCCCCCAATTAGGGTTACAAGCCCTTTAAATAGGGAAAAGTAATTCTAATCAGAATAGGAAACTAACACCCTAAACCCTAATCCTAATAACCACGAATTGGGCCTCAAATAAATGAATGTTCAGCCCAAAATAATACAGAAAAACATAGAAATCACTGAAAGTAACCTAAAGTAACATGAAATATCAGTTTGTTACAAATTGCCACAGAATTGCGGAATTTTGACGCAAACTGTGTAATTTAGCATAAACGACCTCAATTAAGCTTCTCTTGAATCTGAATGATGTTTACTATGCCTTGATAATCATCCAAGCTTTGATTTACTTGTTGCATGTTGTTATCAACCCAGATCTGCACAATAAGGCCATTTAAAGCTTCTCGCATCTTCCTAGCTCTAGCTCTCGTGATTGGACCTCCTGGAATGTGTAATGGATCTCTTGACATGATACATGTGGGGGTCATCTTGATTCCCCATCACTTGTAACCCTAATGGGGGGCAGCTATTGAATCTGAGTTTTTGAGAGACTTTTCTATTTGGTTCATTTCAGAACTTTACAAAACTTATCAAGATTATTCTTGTGGCGTTCTAACCTGACTTATCATTCTTGTTCTTAATCGTTCGAGGGTGTGGCATCAACCAACTTTATACCTTTGGTTCTTGTTGTGTCATAGACAACGGGTCAAGGTTTTTACCTTTGGTTCTTGTTGCGACATAAACAACGGGTCAAGGTCCTATTATAAACTTGATTTGGCTTTCCTGGAGATAGAAATCCCTTGTGCTGTGGGTCCTTTGGGGTTCTCATCAATAGGTTTGTTAAGTTATTTTTAGATTAGCTTAATTCCCAATTATGTATTCTATTTTACGTTGCAGCATTTGAATTTTGACATTTGCCATTGAATAATTTTTATAAACAGGGACAGTGGAAGCTTGGGAGGAAGGATAAAAAATGTGGATATTGGCTAACTTTATTTTGCAAACTGTCAAGTGTTGACTTTTTAGTTTAAGTCAGATAATGACTCCTTTTGGAACAATATTTTGTAATATTTATATATTTAGATAGTTTGGTTGGTGCTTGTGGTTAACTGTTAAAATTTTTTGAGTCTTTTGATCTTTTGTCTTTTGATATCATGTAAGTATAGCAACAGTTGAGTCTAGTGATCTTTTGTTCTGACAAAGTAACAATTACTTTGAATATGTACTCTATAAGACAGTATATTTTTGGTGTAGCACTAGTACCAACCAAGTTAATGAAAAATGAAATCGAATGAATGATCCATCATAAATTGTTTATTATAAATTTATAGTGTTTATGTGTTTGTCATTTGTCATGCTCTGTTTGTATCCATGGGAAGGAAAAGAGAGAAGTATTTGTGATAATAATGGAAATCCTGAGGAGGGGTTTGTTGTCTTGTTGAGCATTATGTGCTTATCGTACTGAAATTGGATATTTTGCATGCATTGGTTTCCTCTAATTGTTTTGACTGCTCTAATATATTTTTTTGTTGTCTTGTTGAGCTTTATGTGCATATTATCTACAAAAATTGTATATTCCATTTTGTTTGTGTGCTGTAATTAACATGGTTTCTTTCTAATTTGATTGTTGATTTTGGGTCTATCAAGTGTTGGTGTGTTTGGTTTCTTAGAATATGTGCCTTTTATTATAAATTAATTTTGAAGTTTTCGTTCTTCTATCTTAGCTTTGCTCTCAATAATATGCTTGTGTTAGTACGAATAAGTGAATATATGAATGTGTTGCAGAAAAAATCTTTGCTCATTCATTAAATTGATTTAAAGATTCTTTGTATGCCAGTTTCTTCTTCTAGGATTATTGCAATTATAAGTCAGTTTCTAGTAAAGATTGTTCGTATGCTGATTTTTCTTTTTGGGGTAATGGTAATTTCTTCCATGGCTTCTTTTGGATGTTCAGACTTGATAAAATTTAATGCTGTGTAAACAGACTGTTATGTTCTTTTGAACTAGTATATTAATTGATGAAATTTACCATTCATTCTTAGGTTTTAAAATAAATATTTATTTTCTTCTTCTATGTTCTTTGTATTTAAATGCAAAACATAGTCATCTTTTAATATATCTGTCAATGGTAGGCATTTTAATTATATTTTATTGTTTTGATTTTGAAATTAGTTAAAAATTCCCAAGGTAAAAGAAAAAAAGGAAAAAAAAAATCAAAATCAGAATTGCCTTTACAGAATTTCGGTTAGAAAGGTTGTAACCGAACTATAACTGTAACTGAAATATAATTTCAGTTAAAGGGTTCGGTATGGTTTGTGAAAATCAAAAACCGAATTACAATAGTAACCGAAGTAAATATCCGAATTGTTTTCGGTTCAATGTATGGTTTTCACATTTCATAACCAAATTATTTCGATTACTATTAATTTCGGTTCGATTCAAAATTGTAAAACCATGAATGCCCACCCCTATGATCATCCTCGTTATCCCCTTTCATACATAGGGAAGTATCCTTCTTCGCAGCACATGTTTGTATATTCTATACTTAAATATTTGAACAAATACTTATTGATATTTTACCTTCGCTGCAAATGGGCACGAACCTATGAATCCAAGCTTATGGAAAATATTCAAGATAAACTTTGGGAGTAGTAGCTTGACAAGTATAAATAGGTGAACGTTGTTCATTTGGCAAAGCAAGGTATCCGCACCAGTGAAGCTTGGCATTGGTGATGTTGCCTGACTTTGCTAGAAAGGGTTGAGTGGCAAAAACATGAAAGTGAACTTGATTCTTGAAACAGTACCCTTTGATGCTAACCATGAGCTTAAAATCCCTTTGAAAGATTAAGCAAGGATGTTGTTTGTGTCTCCAACAGCCACTCGCAGCCATATTTAATGCAAAGGTGGCTACACAAGTTACACTATGTTGGGAAATGCCAAAAAGATTGTTTTTGCCTAGAGAATCTTCCAAAAACCTATGCAACCTCTGGGGAATCTACCAAAATCTTGTGCATGTGATTTTTTTTGGCTAGCTATACTCAAGTACCAGCCCAAAAATAGAATTTCGTATATGGTTGGAGAAATCACCAAAAATAGGCAACTCCCAATCCATCACCAAAACTAGCGACGTTTTGTTAAGGCCACTAGGTAATTCATAATGTCACTACCAAGAAGCTATCAACAATGCCCAAAGCCACTCAACATTTGACAGCTCACCCAAATATACTCATTAGGTTACTGTACAACTCAGACTCATCAACGAGAAAATTACAAAATTACCCATTTAAATAAACAAATAAATAAATAAATCAAAACTGGACAAAACCCATTTAAATCTATGATTTACCTAAAAAAAAAAATGAAACGATAAAAGTACATTTATTTCCTCAAAACCAAAATATTTCATTTTTCATTCCTTATGGCTGTGTAACAATCCACAATCCACAATCAATGATACTCAATCATCAATCCACAATGCACAATCCATAGTCCATAATACACAATCCACAGTCCATAATCCGCAATCCATAATCCACAATTCACAATCCATGGATCCCGAATTTATCGTAATACCAACAACTCAACCCTCACAAGGGTTAATCATACAACCAGGATGAACAAAAGAAACCATTTCAACAATATCAGAGAAAAACAAATTTATATTAACCACCTCCACATAGCCACAATCTCATCTCAAACTTAAATAAATATGTTATGCTTGGTCCACAAATCATCTCATTCCATCATTAAAAACATTTTAGTAAAAATCATTCTCTAAGAAATAAATAAATAAATCAAAACTGGACAAAACCCATTTAAATCTATGATTTACCTAAAAAAAAAAAAACATTAAAGGATATAGCTACTTACCTCAATAATTATCTCTTAAAATGCAATTCCACACAATCAATTCAAACCTAAAAGAATATTAAATAAACATAACTCAATCACCTAGTAAAAATTTGCCCAGTACTTCTCAAGTATTTACATGTAGTAATTCTCTAAACTACGCCATTGATGTCCTATTCCTCAAACCCAGTTATTCCTTCACACACTCTTCTAAGCTAATTACCTAAATAAATAATTCCCTCAAAATTCCTCATGCCACACCATCCAAATTTACAATTTAATATCAATTCCAAAATCCAACAGTTAAAATAAAATCAATCTTCCTAACCAAGCAATTACCCACTATCTTCATTCTTACATTGCAAAATATTTCACCCATTTTCCCTTCTAGTGTGAAATTGTGTGATGGAGGAGTCCCTAATAAGCAAATTACAACAAAAGCTTTTAAATTCCCCTTTCATCATTCTTCAAATCATTAAGATTTAAGTTTAAGAAACAAATTACTTTTGATTGACCTTGGTTTAGCTAGATCCTTTGAGCAGGTTCCCCTTACTGGCAAGAGGAAGAAGACATTCTTGATTCCCCAGAAAAAGAAAGAAAAAATTGAAAACTGCTAACTAAATCTGTCTTGATTTTTTTTACAAAAGGGAAATATTGCCATTTAGTCCCTAAGCTTTAATTATAAGGTTTTAGTCCCTGAGTTCCTCACCTCATTATAATTTTAACCCCAAATTTAATCTTATCACATAAACACCCACTAAGAGCTTAAATAATTTATTTAAATCTTAAGTAATTCTTGGGTATTATAGAAAAAGTCATCCTTATCCCACAAATTCATTATGCTATAAAGGAGAAATCCTCATAAATCCATGAACTCTAACATAGCAATCATGTAAATGTAGTAAAGTGGGTGGAGTTTTGTTTTTGGTAAGGAGGAATGCCAATACGCCTAGCCATGACCTTTGATACAAACAAGGTTTAGTATCATGAAGGGAACAACAGGAACCTTATGACGACCTTTCTTGAACGTATCTACATCATTAAAAGATGGTCCTGGTTGTACTGTTTGTCGAGCATCGCACAACCATGTATTGGCAACCACTAAGGAGCCCTTGACCTTAATGAATTTTTATCTCTAAAAGGGTAACCATCCCTTCCAATTGCAAGAGTGAACCTTTTGTCTATTCGTGGAGGTTTTGCAACTGTTTCTGGTTGCATGCTTATGGATCAAATTACTATAATAATTTAGCTTCTCGGGAGCCGAGAAGATGTAATAGAAAATGTAGTAGTAATGATCACGACCTTAACAAATGTCTAACCATGTTGCGAAAATATATGTCGTCATATTTAGCCATGTATAAGAGAATGACGTTGAAGTAGAACATGTTTGTATCATTCCCAACAATAGAGATGAGTGTCGTTTTTATGAATGTTGATGATGGGAATCAAGATGACAGCATATCTACTACATCATGTGATCCATTACACACCCAAGGAGGTCCAGTCACACGAGCTAGAGCTAAGAAGATGCGTGAAGCTTTAAATGGCCTTATTGAGCAGATCTGGGTTGAAAACAACATACAACAAGCAAATTGAAGCTTGGATAATTATCAAGGCATGGTAAACATCATTCAGGTTCAAGAGAAACTTAGTTAAGGGCATTTGCACGGAATTACATAGTTTGCGTCAAAATCGCACAATTCTGCCGCAATTTGTAGCAAACTGATATTTCATGTTATTTTAGGTTATTTTTAGTGATTTTCATGTTTTTTGTATTATTTTTGGGCTGAACATTCGCTTATTTGAGGCCCAATTCGTGGTTATTAGGTTTAGGACTTAGGGTGTTAATTTCCTATTCGGATTAGGATTTGTTTTCTCTATTTAAAAGGCTTGTAACCCTAATGGAGAGAAGGCTATTGAATCTGAGATTTTGAGAGACTTTTCTCTTTGGTTCGTTTCAGAACTTTACAGAACTTATCAAGATTATTCTTGTGGCGTTCTAACTTAACTTATCATTCTCGTTCTTAATCGTTCGAGGGTGTGGCGTCAACCAACTTTATACCTCTAGTTCTTGTTGCGTCATAGACAATGGGTCAAGGTTTTTACCTTTGGTTCTTGTTGTGACATAAACAACGGGTCAAAGTCCTATTATAAACTTGATTTAGCTTTCCTGGAGTTTAAAAATCCCTTGTTGTGCTGTGGGTCTCATTGTTCTCTTTGGGGTTCTCATCATCTTGGTATCAGAGCATCAGATCCCTAAATCAGGTTTGCGTATTTTTAATTTTCAGTTTTATCTTAAAAAAAAAACAAAAAAAAATTCAGTGTCATTCTTCTTTTTCTTATTTTGCTCTTCTGAATCTGTGTTGCTGGTTAAAAAAA